TTGTTTTTATTATAATATTACTATAATATTACTATAAGATTGTAAGTGATTTCTACATATTCTTTTAGGAAAGTATTCATAGTTCATTTCTTATTAAGATTGTCTTAAATAATATTTTATGAAGTTCTCTGGTTGGTTTAGGACTGACGCTTATATGAGACATTCTCAAATATAAGAATTATGTGTGACTATGAATATCAGCTTTTATTGTTAAATTCATAATATTGAGTCATTTCTGATTTAAGTTATTTTTAATTATTTTTATAGGTCATTACTGTTCCTACTCACTATATGATTAATTTAACTAAAACAATAGAGTTAACCAATTTAACTCAAACAATGTATTAATTTGACTCAAATTTAATTTATTATTTGCTATGTACATATGTTAATAAAAACGTATACACTATTTACTTTGAAACCATGCAATTTGATCACAAAAATGATTAATTTATTATTTGCTATGTACATATGTTAATAAAATATATATTATTTACTTTGAAACTCTATGCAATTTGATCACAAAAATGATTGATTAGATGTGATTTTTTTTTAATCACATGTTTTGAATTATAATAATCTATTTTAACACACTTATAGTAGTTAAAAATAAAATGTTATCCAATGTAAGGAATTGGTTTAAATTCAATCCTTTAATATTTAACAATGTATATTTATGTATAGTATACATTTTATTATTTATACTTAATATATAGTAAAATTATGTAAACCTAAGTTACAACCTAAGTTAAACCTAGCTATTACTATTTAATAATATTATTAATGTATTAAGTATTTTATTGCAGTACAATTATTACATAAATATGGTGTCAGAGCATCGGATGGTCCAATGAAACTTCTTAAAGTAATTAAGAATCCTATTACAAATCATTTGCCAGTTGGTTGTCGAAAGATACTAATGTCATTCAATGCAAGTAAAGTACTAAATCCACGAGATCTTGTACCTACTGAAGATCCTATTGCTATCGTAGTTGGAGCTATGGCTCATGGTCAAGTAAGTTATTATTATTAAAACGATATATTTCTACTATTATATTAAAAACTACGTTGTAAAATATTTTACATTCTTGTTTCTTTGTAGGTCAAAACAGATTACACAGAAGATACCTATTCTATTAGTAATTATCCTCTCTCAGGTGCCATTGCCTGTAGTAAATTATGTACAGCGTTTGAAGAAGTTTGGGGAATTGTTTAATAAAAACAAAATTATAATATTATATATTTATGTACTATATATTTCAAGAACAGAATATGAAAGATTTTCTGAAATAAATAATATTTTAGTAGAGTATTTTTTTTATCCTGCGGTTGATATTGTCCTCTTTGTTGTTCTTTCTGAATAAATTGTTAATATGTATGTATATATTTCATTCGGTAACATAAATATGATAAAATTGCTAAAGATGAAAAAAAAAGTGACAAACTTGCATTAATACTTACATGGCGACAAATTCAAACATTTGTTATAACATTTGAAATTATTTATATTAAATATAAAATACACGAATGAAATAATATTATCGAACATAAATAGTTAATTTTTTTCCGTGTTTATATATATATATATATATCAGCGCTCATAATAATTAGAATAATTATATTTATTTGTGCATTTATAATCTTAATTACACATGAATACAATAATATTATTTAAATATAGATCTATTACGATATGAATATTAAATTAAATATTAAATATTTAAGTAAAATACAGATTTGTATCAAAATAGATTTATACTCAATAATATTATTTTTCTCTGTGTTTTACAAGTGGCATTTTAAATGTTATTCCGAGCTCTGAAAAATAAAAAAATTTATATACACATTCATATATACAAATAAATTTTATTAATTTTTACATAGTTGATGTAACTCTAGGCCTGTTCATGTTACTCGAAATTCCCAAAATTTTTTATACTTAAAATGAGGTAAATGTATATTTGGGTACAAGCAACATGAACATATGTTATGTAATTATATGATAAATACATCATGCTAGACACATTTTTGATCGAAAATTGATAACAAGGAATAGATAAGACAAAATAAAATTTTTGCTATTTGAAACTACTTGTTTTTCGAATTCATTGGATTGAGAAAGCTGGGAAGACTAAACTCTAAGGTGTTAGGACAATATTTTAATAAGTAAACAAGAGATAATCCATTAAACCATTAAAAATTACTACGAAAGATATCTTCAGGTATTTTGCTCTGCCCTCTTTTAAAGCTGTAAAAGTTTTTAAAAGATTCTTTTTAAGTATAGTGATTATACTAAAAAATAGAGAATTATATAAATATTTATACAAAAGAATGGTTATTTAAATAATTATTAACAATGACTATTCGTTGCATACAGATGCGAAATAAAGTCTAAAACAAATATACGTAATAAAGAATGTTACAAAAAAAATTAACATATTCGTTTATTTGTCTATATTGTTCTATCCATTTCTAGCTATTTAACTAAATACATACTTCTATACTGCATCTATATCTGCATATATAAAATATTTGAAAAGAAAAAAGTATACAGTAAAAAAAATTTTTTTTTAATGATTAAAAATCAATATCTACAAAAAACGCATTTTAGAAACATGATTAGTATGTGAGTGAAAGCATTAAATTTATAACAATAATTTTACAATTTTTTACACGTATACAAATAAAAGTACATGAATAAAAACATAATCTGGATGAATGTTTATGGTCTTTATTTATAACGTGATTATCTATAAATTATTTATCTTTATTTTGACCAGTTAATGAAACGACAAATTATTTTTCTGAAATCATAATATTGAAGTAAACGTATCATGTTTATATTCTTAGACATATATCAAACACAAACAGTACACCTATGCTATATATATCAAAATTATTGAAGAAGAATTATAATTCGTTTGGTATAGTAAGTTTTTAGTTAAATGGAACAATATATGTTTATTTTTACAACAGGTAATAAACATGCTAAATTCATACTAAATTCTTCATTTTGATTAATTCATTTATTTTGGTAAGAAATATTTAACATCACATATTCAGTTTTTATTAGATACGTGCTTAAATCCAAAATATTGTACTTTTATGTAACTCTATATATGTATTTATAAATACTAGGTGACTCTGAATAATTGTGAAATATAAAACGAATTTTAATAAAATTTAAAATAATTCTCGGCAACATATTGCCTTTAAATAATTTAAATAATATATATTTATAGACAATGCTAAATTCTTTGCAGCTATAATATCTTTCGATCATATGGATACTGTAATTATTATGTCGTCACATGGAAGAAATCGAATATCTTTCACTGATTGAAATATATCAATAGTTATGGATAATTCTTTATGAGCCACAAATTTCTCATTCATTCGTTTTTGCATCCATATATTATATAAAGGAAAGTAGTCTATTACTGTTATTATATTACAACTGCATACAAGTCCGAATCTTCTAAGATTATGATTTTATTCTTTGTATAAGGTTTGTCTGTATAAATACATTTTATACAAAAAATTTTAATTATAAGATAACATATTTTTGTAAATAACATATATAAAATTACACTTAATAATAAAGATGTGTGAAATGATTTTCTATATCTTACAACCATATCAACTGTTTTTTTGAAAAATGTCCAATATGAATAAATATTTCTTTGTTACCATATTTTAGACAGAATTTATTTTATCATACATATTTATAATATCCAATGATACATCTCTAAAAAATATAGAAAAACATATTAGAAAAAATTTATAAAATATTGATTTCAATATAAAAATTCCTCTGAAATAAGTATGAGAATAACTACATTAGTGAAGAGAATTTTTTATGTATAGTTACATGAGACAATCTAGAAAAAATGAAAAAGTATCACAGATCCTGTACACTGTATTGTGATGAGTGCACAATCACTAACAAACTGAGTATTTCATTAAAATCGTACTCTACAAAAACAATAAAATTACATAAAAGTTATAAAACTTTTATAAATAATCAACTTAATACGTTCATTATAATGTTATCTGTCATTCTTACTTATTAGAAAAAAAATTAATAACACGAATAATCTTAATTTTACAATTGCAAATGCGAGAATAATATTACTGTAGGTACCTGAAGTTACTACTCATTTATTAGCGATTATCTGAGAGTACTCAGTTAAATAGTATACAATAGTAATAATCACATCTATGTGTTTAAAAATAGATGAAAAAAACGGCAGTGATATATTGTTTCTGCCAATACCTGCAATCTGTACAAAAAATGAGAATATTATGAAAACTATCAAAGATTAAAGCAATTTTAATGTCTCTTATTATAATATATTATTTCATTTTAAAATTCTATTTTTATTTATCTCTTTGACATGTCATTCGTTGAGAGTTAGAACATTTATTATAATATGTTGTATATACGTCATTTCGAACAAATTCTTGCAATATCTTTTACAACAATTTTGCTTTCAAAAAATCTAATACTCTTTGGCCAAGTACATATATCAAATTTTATGGTATTTATTTAACATGGAAGAGATATTATATTAGAGTAAATGAATTGTACAGTCCGAAATTCGATTTTAAGCAATTTTTAATTAATCTCTGATTAACGTCGAAATACGTGATAAACATAAAAGTTTCGAAAATTGAAATAGATAGAAATAGATTCGTCTGCTTAATGCTGAATCCAAAATTCTGATTTTTTTAAATACTGAGTACTTATTCCGCTGTTTATTATTTCTATTTCCACTCTGCTACAATGTATGTACACAAGACACTGGTATTGACTTTCATATTGATATTCGTTCGAAGGCAGATAACATACAGAGTGAAGAAGTGTCGGCTAGAGTGCTGATTAAAACTGTGCCCAGTATAATGAAAAGAAAGTTGGAACATATAACAAACTTTTACTTTGAGTTTTCCGATCGGATCGTATTGTGTATATAATTTCTGGTTTCTTGCACGTTGATATAATGTCAGAGGCGGAGCATACGACCGAAGGCATAAAATATCTGGATCCGCCTGACAAATCGGAGTATGACAAAACCGAATATAGGTGAGAAGGGGATGAAGGCTTAGCAAAAAAGATGATTTCAATTGAAATATTCGTGAGATTTATTATTTAGTGCGATGATAATCTTTTAAGAGAAATGTTACAATGTACTTTCTATAATGAAGAAATAAGTGTTTTTATATGATCCTCAGTAATTCCTCACCTTATTGTTTCGTTTTTCAAATTTAGAGTCGTTAGACTACAAAATGGTTTAACAGCTTTGTTAATATCTAAATTGGATGGAGCGAATTATGACGATATAAACTATGAAGATCGTGAAGAAGGTAATTCTTCAGAACGAGTTAAAGGAGATATATCAAAGGTATAAATAAGACAATAAAGTTAGCATTTTAGAAAATTTCTATTGTATTATCTTTTTACATAATCTGTTACTAAAATTTTATTGAGATTATAATATCAAAGTGGAATTTAAAATTTAAAATAAAAAATAATTTAGCTCTTTAAATTGCGTTCAGAAAAGCATAATTAGTGCAATTATCTATCTATCTTTATCGTTCATCAAACGTGAAAAGGTAAAATGTCGCAATGGCACTGATAGCGTATTCATTGAATATACAATCAAACTTGATATTAACAGCTATATTTGATATCCCCGTTTAAAAAACGTGACTCCTCTATTACTTGTTAATGAATTATCATGGATTTTTTAAAAATGTTTAAACTGTTCACGGTTCAATAATCTCACTACTGATTATGCTTGATCAATTTAACATTCTGTATGCAATGCATGATATGTATAAGTATATATATTTTTTTATAACCCAGGCATTTTGTAGCTTGTGTGTGAGAGTAGGCAGTTTTAATGACCCACTGGAATTTCGAGGCCTTGCACATTTGCTTGAGCGCATGGTTTTCATGGGATCCAAAAAATATCCTGAGGTATAAAAACTTGATAAGTGAATTTATTATAAAATACATTTTTGTGCAATTATATGTTTAAATATCAATGTATTTGCAGAATTTTAATGAATTTGTCAGTCTCTATGGTGGCAATACTAATAGTGCAACAGGTTGCGAGTATACAAGATTTTACTTTGATATCTCAGTGAAACAGTTGGAGCCAGCTCTCGATCATTTTGTTCAATTTTTCATCGATCATCCATCCTTAATGAAAGAAGATGCCATCGCACGAGAGCAAAAAATCATAGAAAACGGTATATAAATTATAATCGTAATATTGTTGCAGCAACTACAGTTTATTTTCAATGTTTCATGTTCACATAGAGTTTCAATCCTGTTTCTTGTCCTGTGACAAAAGTAGGAAGGAACTAGTTCTGACCGATATTGCCCGAATTGGTCCTCCACCCAAGAGAATTTATTGGAAAGCGTTAACATCACACAATAATACATATGATGGCAAGCTGTACGAAGAGCTACACAAATTTAGAGAGTGCCATTATAGCGCTCACAAAATGACGCTAGCTATACAGGTAATTTTAATAACTTACGATTGAAATGAACGATTGATTTCTTATTAAATATAGTTAATTTATAGTAGAATATTTACATATTTTTATAGGCAAGATTACCGTTAGATACATTGGAAAGATATGTCACAGACTCCTTTGCCGGTATACTAAGTAATTGGCTATCTTTCGATTCCAATTATGAAAACAACGACAAATTTTTTGATACTGTCGTTTTGAAAAAAATGTATAAAGTTAGATCCATCAAAGATATCAGCCAAGTATGTAAATTAAACACGAAAATTCAAAAAGAGCTGTATGGTACATATGCAAATAAAAATAAAACTTGTATTTACAGCTACATGTAATATGGATTTTGCCTTCAAAATTTAATCAGTACAAAAGTAAACCATATAAATATATTTCATCGATTATTGAGAATAAAAGAAGTGGATCTTTAACTAGTTACCTGCGTAAAAAATTGTGGGCCCTTGATTTGTTCTGTGTGTGGTATCTGTGATAATGATAATGGTTTTGGATACAATTCTAAGTATGTTTTATTCGAGATTATAGTAGAACTCTCCCGTGAAGGACAACAGCATCTGAACAACGTTTTAGATGTAATATTCTCCTTTATTAAAAGTATCTCCTTTATTAATTAGTAAAAAGGACTGGTCCACAAGAATGGATTTATAATGAGTTTTATAAGATTGAAAGAAATAATTTTAGGTAAATCAATTTAGGAATAAATTGATATGTAGAAAAGAAAAATATTATTAAAATACATAAGATATGCCACTTATATTTTGAGGTTTTTTTAGATTTTTTAATAAGCACGATGACGTGTTTGATTTATGTAAGAGTATGCATTTCTATCCGCCGCGTGATTATTTAACTGGAAAACATAATTATTTCGAGTATAACTCGGAAGCTGTAGAAGAATGTTTGGAATTTTTGAAGCCAGAGACAGTAAATATCATGAATTTCGGCAATGATTTAGATTTAGATATGGACGAGCCACGTTTGAGAACTTACTGCTCAATTACCGCATTACCAAAGGAGTGGATCGAAAACTGGAAATCGATCGAGCCATTACCTTATTTTCATTTACTATTACTCAATGCATTTATTATCGACAATATCTCTTTAATATCAGGATCAGCAGAAACTTTGAAATATCCTGTAAAAATACAGGATAATGATATTTTGGAGATTTGGTATTGCCCGAAGTTTTATTGGCCGATGTGTCATATAAACCTTCATATTGTTTGTTCTCTGAAAATTGAAACACCAAAGGAGTAAGTAATAACCTGGACATGTAACAATACTTATACATTACAGTGATATTACAACGATTGTTTGTTGATTCTCGTATGTATACTATAATATCTAACTATCATATTATTAATATTTTAGTGCTGCTCTCTTGGATATGTACTGCAGTGTACTAAAATATCTATTGGTCGAAGAATTACATCCGGCTGTAACAGCTGGATATGATTATGGTATCGATGTCAGTGCAGAAGATATAGGTATTACAATACAAATGAGCGGGTTTGGCGAAAAACTGCCAGTAGGTATACGTTTTAGCGATTGTTGACAAAGTTGTAAGTATAATTTCGACGCATATAAATATTTTATTTATATTGCAGATCTTGTTGAAGATTATTACAAACTGTATAATACATCTCTTTGTTTCGAAAGACTTGTTTGAAGTTATTAAAGCGCAACAATTGAAGGCATATTATCATAAATTTATGGAAACTGAGAAATTCATCAAGTATCATCTGCTTTTTATGTAGCATAATTGTAACAACTATAAAATTCTTATATAACTAAAGAAAATAATAATGATGAACATTTACTATAATAATTAATAGTATAAGATGAATTATATTTATTACATTTTTTATTATTTCCAATTAATAATATATGTATTGCTTATTTTATTTCGCAGGGATGTAAAATTATGGATATTAAAACGCCCTTACTATACGTACGTTCACAAGTACGATTCTCTATATAAAGATATTAATGTTGAAGACTTCCAGGACTTTGTAACTTCTTTCACCAATTATCTGTCCATCCAGTGCCTTGTGCAAGGCAACATAACGAAAGACCGTACGATCGATACCGTCAACATTATACAATCTTTCATCACACAAATTCACTGTCCTTTCAGTACTAATACGAAATCTATTAAAGTCGCTATATTACCTCAATGTATTCATTACAAATTGAAAAATATTAACCACAAGTATGTCAACTCTGTAGTTACAAATTATTACCAAATCGGTGTTGCTACAACTGAATCATCGGTGTTAATCGAGTTGATTCTCGTAAGTATTTAATAAAATTGTTTTATACATTTATATATATATATATAATTACATGGATCTCTAATTTAAATTTATTTACTTTTAAAAGTAAATGAAACGTGAAAAATATTTTTAATTACTCTGATTGATTTTATCTGCACATCACATTCATCTGTTAAATAATAATTTTTCAGATGATGATGAAAGAATCGTTAAGGAACTATCCACGACGTCAAGGGCTTAGTAACGTTTCGTGTGACCTTAGAAATATCAAGAAAATATTAGGATATTCTATGACTGTTTACATTCAGGAAAATAAATACTCATTCGACTCTGTTGATGATGTGATCGAGGATTTTCAGAATTCGTTTACTTCCAAGTTATACCAATTCTCAGAAACAGAATTAGATCATGTCAAAGAAAGACTGAGAATTTTAAAGCAACATGACGAACATGCAGAAATTTTAAGAAACGGAGTTGACAGGAACTGGAGTGAGATCACGAAGCAGCAGTACATATTTAACAGACATGAAGTGGAAGCGCTTGCAATAGAGAACATAAATAAGAGGGAACTGGTAAACTTTTTTCAAACGAGCATACGGTGTAAAGCGCGTTTGAAAAAATTACGCGTATGTGTTGAAGGAACTCCGAAGGAAATTGCATTAAGTAAGCAGATAACTTTTCAGGTTCAAACTTTTGTTTAAATATTCCTCTTTGTATTTATGACATCAGTCTTTCCTTCCATTTTTCTTGTCAGATTAAATTAAAATTGCTAAGACAATTAATATTTCAAAAATTTATTGTTATAGTTGCGGAATCTCGTAAAAAAAATAAATACTCTTTTTCGGACTATGTAATCGACGGTTTGCACCAGAAATTTTCTTATTACTGAGATTATTCAACATATTATAGAACATTACAGAAACCTACGTAGTATATATACATATATATATATAGGGTGAATCAGAGTCGTTGAACCAACTTTTTACCCTATGAAAAATTTAGCGACTTCATACCTAATTGAATTATAACATGCATTTGATAATTTTTTTATAGGGTGAAAAGCTGGTTCATCCACTCTGATTCACCCTATATAATACGGAGGAGATTAATTCTGTCATTCTTGGAGCGCTTAATAAGTAATACTTCATCAATATTGGTACATTGATGACGAAATAGTGAATATTATGGTTTCAAACTTCTTGTCATTTTAATTTGTTATATCAATTATATTCGATTTTATAATATTATTATATTATTTATTTTATTATATTTTACACTTATCCCGTGTAGAAATTGAATCCAGTGGCTGACTAGCTATGAGTTACTAAAGTTGCGTTATACATCATCACTCTTTAGTTTTTCTAACTAATGCGACGTGCTAGTACCGTACACTTTTTTAGTGACTGTATATAAAAAATCAACTAATAATTAGAGATTAGAAAGGTCGTAAAGTTATTATTTCAAAAAGAAAACTTTCTAAATACTATTCAGCATTTATCTAGCTGTTACTAGATACAAATAAATTAAAATAAACTATATTTTTTGTAATTATGTTCTGAAAATTTCAGGAAAAATTTGTATTAAGAATTTCTACTTTTTAATTTTTTTTATTATATGACTATTTTACCCTTCATGGCTATTTGTTGCTTATTGATAGGTTTTGAAGGATTCTGAAGAAGATTTCTGGTGAATATTCAAGAAAAATAATAAGAACAGACAATAATAATATAGATAATATAATATAATAAAAATAATATCTTAAATAGTTCTTAAATAGGCTGCGATCAAAGTCTCACTACAAATGGAAGTGTCATAAGATATTAAGTTTTCTGTGGAAACGGTCAACGCTACAGATGCTTCAAATTGTTTTTTGATCGGTCAATTTGTAAAACTCTTTTTTTATGATTGGCCAATCAAACGCTTCAAAAAATTTGTAGTGAGTCTTCGCAGTTTAAGTACTATTTAAGATATTATTTCTGTTATGTTACATTATCCATTATTATTATCTCTTTTTATTATAATACTTTCCTTGTATATTCAAATAGAAATTATATAAATAAAAACATATGAATATATTTTGTACATATATTTATAATTGTTATATGATATATAATTTTATTACGTATTATTATTTAATTACATGTTATACTAATATTTAATGTTAAACTCGTGTTAAAGATGTAAATAAATTTACAAAACAAATTTATCTAATTGGCTCACTCTTTTAAACTCACGCTAATCTTGTGATATCCAATTGACATTTTTTCGCGGTGCACAAGATACGTTTCTTGACTTCATCATGTATACTTCAATTTTGTATGACTTTGACAGCTGTCATAATTATTCGTCACACGCATGAATAGATGGTGAATCGCACTCTGAAAATTTTTGCATATTCCAAAAGTCATCGAAAAAAAGTGTTGCTACTTTTCTATTTATGAGATATTACTTGAAATTGGAACGACGGAACAGATTTCTTAAGTCGGCATCTTATAGGATGCCATCTCATGAGCAGAAATTTACAGCAGATCGGAACAGCGAAACCAATCACAATCGAAAAAAGAAAGCAAAGTAATGACTGCGCTGTTACGTTCCGCTATATATTTCCGCTTATGAGACGGCACCCTAAGACGTAAACTTAAGCCGATGAGCCAATCAGGATATTTCTTTAGTTCTAAGTAATCTAACGGAAATGGAAATAACAGTAAATTTATCCATAACCTCGCAATAAGACTAATTTAACCGGAAATTCGCTTTGTTTATTGGCTGTGTTCAGCTATTGAGTCCGCCAAACACGGCTAATGTCTACTGAGATAGGATATTTCTTAATAGCATATCTAAATCTAAAAGTATAATCCAATCAGCACGAAGAAAACTTCTAACAGTTGCAAAAAAAAAAACAAATGTTCTGAATGCAGCCCTTGGATGCATTCAAGGCTTCTAGCCTTGAAAAAAAATTTAAAAAAATGACAATGTTATCTTTTTTTAATTATCTTCGGATTCCTCGATCTCTGTTGATAATGTCGAAAATTTTCTCTGGGCCAGTCGTTTTCGATAGTATGACGGGAGCACAAAAAAATTTTGTAATAGATGAGAAGCACAAAAAAATTTTGTCCATGATGTATATACTTTAAATCTGTTTGTTAAATTTATTCTTTTATGCTTTCCTCTTATGATAGGATATTCTATGTACCTGTTGAAGGTACGTCGCTTATTCGGTTTGCAAATAAAGAACTGACGAAAGGTATTAATTTGCCATATTGCAAGTTTGGGGCACTTTGATAATGAAAATTTTTTAATGAAGAAAATTAATATATGAAAAGTATTTATTAGAAAAAAAAAGAACGTATCATCAACGTCGGCATCATATTTTTTGTTTCCAAACACATATAGAACATATAGTACTTGAATCACGTGCGATGGACATGCGAATATTTTTACACGTTAGCTCATAATTGCTAGTCACTTCTTTGTGGGAATATAGTATAATATTGAACGTTACATTTCTAACACGTGTAATAAAAATACACTCGACTTACATGCAACATTCAAAAGAAATGATAAATCGCGTTAGACCTTTTCGTATTGTGCGCATTATATTTGAAAGAGACAGTTGCATTTATCTCCAGCCGGTGGTGCTGGAGTATATCGTTTTTCGCAACAAGTAATTTTTCTCTAGAAAGATTATGAAACTTGTATAACGAATAGTTAGTACCAGCTTTACCAATAGTATATTTGTAAATTTTATTTAAATATTATAATAGAAGAAATGGAAAAATATGAAGTATACTAATAAAATTGTTTTCTTTTTAAATGTTGAAAAACACTCTCTATTGTAGCCCCGGATTTATCCCAGATCTACAATAGGGTTCTAAGCATTGAAATAGATAAGACATAGACGAATCACAGGCCTTGTTTCCATCGAGGATCAGAATGTAAAAACCAACCAACTACAGTCGAGCATTTTTCTGTCGTTCGTCTGTAACAGGGGAATACTCGACTGTAGTTGGTTTTTACATTCCGATCCGGATCTAATCCTCGATGGAAACAAGGCCTGTGATTCGTCTATGTCTTATCTATTTCAATGCTTAGAACTCTATTGTAGATCCGGGGTAAATCCGGGGCTGGATCTACAATAGGGGGTATTTTTCAACAATGTACATAAGTAATATAATGAGCATTCGTTTAAGCAGTGGCACCGACGAGATACTATTAAAGACCAACGTCCTTACGGGAGTTCGCGTCCTTGTGAATATTGAAGTAATTAACCATAAAAAATGTTAATATTATTGTACTATTATTATGATTTATTAATTTAGTAGACCTATTTGTGCATTTAGAATTCAATAATACTCGAAATTTTTCTTTAAAATTGTGATTTTAGTGTTATTGTCAAAATTTTGTTATCAACAGAGATGATAACTGCAGACAAATAATTGTAATTTTTGCAATATATAAGATATTATGGCTTTACAAGTATGCATATTTATTTATGGGTCATTTATGTAATAAAAAATTATGAATTTAATAATCTATGAACCAAATATTTATATTAATAATAGCAAATTTATATCAATTGTCCATGATGTCAGCGTTCTTCAATTGTCTCCAGGCCCTTGGGGCCCTTTTTATACTGCTAAAAATTTGTCCACATTGACGGTTTTTAGTAGTATCTCGTCCGTGGCAATGGATAGAGCATCCTCTGCTTATCAGCTGATTACATAACCTAAATTTACTGAATGGATTTCGGTATGAATAGCTGCTCGTACCATATTGGATCGTATCTTCCAATAAAAAATCTGGAAAAGCTGAGCTGATTAAAAGTTAAAGCAGAGAATCTTATTCTTGATCAAATATCGCATACAGAAATAGCAATTCTGTATATAATCGATTAATCATAATCGAAAAACTATCATTTTCGTATGCAAAAATTATATATATATGTGCTCAAAAATAGGGCACCAGTTTCACAACTCATGCTTAACTCTTAATTGAGGTTCAATTTATTCCTCATCTATTTCTAATGCTAGAATTGGAAAGAGATGAAAAATAAGTTGAACTTCGGTTAAGAGTTAACTGTGAGTTGTAAAATTAGGTTTAAATAAAAAATCCGAAAATATTAAATAAACTCCAAAATATTATAAAATTTATTTATAAAAAGTTCATAATTCTTATATATGTTGGTATTTTCAGTTTACATTCAAAAGATGTGAGTTTTAGATTAATCTGATCGCAAATACAAATTAGCAAACTTCACACCTTTTCCGTTATATATATCTTACATTTCATTATTTTTACTTTAGTAGA